ATACGAGCTCAATCACTAGGTGGGTAGGTGGCTCAGCGACTGCGCAAACGCGATAGCGCTGGGGCGATTATACTTTGTTACTGATCCGTTCGTGATTCATAACGTGGTAAAGTGGCGATAATCAACGCGCTCAAAGGTACTCGTATATACAATCCGTACCCTACTCACTTGAAAGCGTCGTCTGTCTGTCTGTCTGTTTTTAACCAAATTTGGTATTACTTGAAGGAGTACCTGGCTTAAGCGTGAAATATGAGGTCGGAACGGGCGGAGGGGAAGGATTGGAGGGAGGTGTATGGGCCGAGAAGTACAAAACACAGATGAGCTACGAGATACGCGGTAGACTATGCCCAGAAATGGGCTTGGCCAACGGCAGAAAATTTCGAATAGATTTCAAAACAACCAGAAGACTGGAAAAAATGGGCAAAGGTGTGACGGATTGCCAGGATGAATTGGAGAACCACCTATGATGGAAGAAGCGCTCTCTAATCATAAGTGGACGTGCTTATTAAAATATCCATAATCGACGAAACCACGAAGGGGAATAAAAAGGCAATGGCAGAAGTTTACCATCTTTACTTAACGAAGCGTGGCGCATCCCAGAAGGAGCGCTACGCGCCTCATTCCGCAAAGTGGTCTAAATACTGCACGGAAAGAGACAAAAAAGCGGTAGAGGCTAACAAAAGAAATGGATTCCAGCCCTCTTCGTGGACGGAGCCAGAGCTACCACTTTGATCTGTACCGCTGAATCCCGGGCAACGCATGCATGTGTGGAGCAGAACTGATAAGTTTTCTGTAATATATTGAAAAAAGTAGGTAGCTGCTGCTATCTGGACAAATTCCTCGTTATGATCGTTTAATTCACCTTTTCCGACGGAATTTTGGCTTCCTTCTCGAGATCGCCACCTGGATTTTCGTGCTCATCAGTAGAAATGAGTAAACTTCTATCAATCGGGCTAAACTGGATTGTTAGACAGGCGAGATGGCAGGGTCCCTGAAAAAGAAGTATCGCAAAGTGAACATAATTTATTTACTTATTTATTTACTTGTGTTCGCGACTCAAGTGCGGGCGGCCACTTAAGACACAATCTCCAGCGGCGCGTATAGTGAATACCCAACCCAACGTCCTCACCCGACTGCCAAAAACAATTCAACCATTCCTTCTTCAATTTCTTCTCTTCCACGACATTTCCTCCAAACAATTTCAAACATAACTCTGAACCCTCCACTTATGCCGTTCATCAGTCTTCTTTACCACACAATCTTATGCCGTTTGTTCTGCCTAAACTTCATATCTCTCTCTGACATTAATCCGAGACACCACCGAATTGATATTGCTTTGAAGTAAATCGACCGGCGGTAGTACTGAACCACCTGGTCCTCCCTGGACACGCTGCTCGTCTCATTTTGGCCACTTCTTACCCGGGACATATACCGACTCAAAAACAAGCCCCACCTTCGGCAGAGCCATGCCCAGGCACGTCTTTTTGGTTTGCCAGCAGAAACAATGGGCGACGTTCGTCCAGCCATGGGTTGGCATAGGATTTGCTGCCATTATGCCCGACCACCTTAACTTGATTATTCTGATCCGTCTTCGGGGTAGCCGATTAACTGGCCCTTGATGCCACCGATTATCCTATGAGCATCCGAATTCAGTAAGACCTAGGACCGATCTCCCGCCGAATAGCGCCTGCCGCGCCTCACTCTGGCTGACAGCACGGCCCCCCTTCTCCGAAAACAGTTTCTCAAAAGGGAAGGTCAGCCGAAAATGTATACCAAGTCCAGGAAGATATCGTTTTGGGAGATCACACCTAAAGATCGCAGTCTGCCTTGCACATGGGATTATGACTCTCGGCTCATGTAAATCCTACCAATCCTCTCCAACACCCGCATCCCGTGACGGCTTAAGCACGAGTTCCGCTATTGCGAGTCTCCACAAGAGCCAGCACGTGTCGATCGAGGGCAAATCAATCCGTCATCTCTCCCCGGCTCCCCCACAATCACATGTGTGCATATCTCCTCCGTACTCACTGCCTGTCAGTCCTGCCCCATCCCCCCCCAAATTCCCATTCCCGAAAGCGCTAGCAATACATCACTCCCCCGGCCCCGCCACGCGTGCTATCCCGCCTACCCCTGCCTCCCGCTCCTCAGACCATTCTCCATTAGTATCCGGCAAACTCCCCATGTGTCACCGCTATTTTGGGAACCAAGTGCAACCATCAAGCCTCGATCTAAGCCGCCCGCCCTGGCCCTGGCGTGCTGACTTTGCCCACGAATCCGTCCGTACTGGAGCCTCACCAGATTGACGGACATCATGCACAAATATCCCATATCAATACCCTGACTTCCTGCCCCCATCCGCACCGGCTCCCGCGACCCCCCCCACCTGATCCCGCCATCACTCGCCGCAACAACTGCCCACCGCCTAGTGGCTGCGGACACTTCTAGGATGCATCAGTCAGAGCCACCCGCAGTTCGCCAATTTGGGGTTTTCACAGTACCACCCTCCGTCGTCTCGCCGCTAGGTACGCCGCAGACACTTCTTTCGAGATCACGGCGGCCCCACCCACCCATCGCACCCCCTGGCCCCCTGCCCCTCTTTCGCCCCCCCCATACCCGGCCCTCAACGGCCTCCCCCCCCCTTCACCTCCCGCTCCGCGACGCCGCCCTCTCGCTCCGTGCTCTTGTTCAGTTGTCCCCCGCCCCCTGTTGCCGGGCCTCGGCCGCCCCCCCCGTCTGCCCCCTTTCCCAACTACTCCCCCCGTTACCGCCCGGTTGCCTTCTCTGCGCTCTTCACCCTCCCTCCCTCTATCTGTACCCCCCGCTCTCGCCCCCCTCCGCCCCCCTCCCCTTCCCGCCCCTCCCCTCCCCCGCCCGTCCTCTCCCGCCTGCGGTTCGCGGTTTGCCGCGCACCCTGCAGCTTTGGGCCAATTTAATGAGGAAATCATGTCCCTTCGAAAATGTTGGCATATTTTGTATCACTGTCGTGTTGCCCATCAAATTCCTCCGAAGAGCGCTAGCAATTACTGCAGTGCTACCCTACTGCTGTGCATCAGAATGCTCCATTGTATCCTGCAAATCCCATGTTCACAGCTTTTGGGAAAAGTTTCGACCTCAAGTCGACTGTCGCCCTGGTGCTTGAATGGATTTCCACGAATCTCGTCGGTAACAGCTCACGTTTTACGGAGCTCATCACAAAATATTATATATACCATGACGTGTCCGACCCACCTGATCCCTCATCGAAAACTGCACCGTCCCTAGTGCTCGACAGTTAACATAGTTCAGAGCTACGAGTTTCTCAGCCTACACTTGTACCTATACAGAATTTTCAAACGTTGCCCTTTCCACACGCACTTGACACGTTGACCGTATGTTCATCCTGCCTGCGTTGAGCGCAAGTCTCTGAAGCGCGAGGGCAAGATAGACTGCTTTAACGCTTTTAAACAGAGGGTCAAAGTCACACATCCATGGCGCACATCAGCACGACATTCGTCGCGCGGGGGGCCGCTATTCATGGAAGTTTTATGACAGAACATTTCTCGGCTCTTCTCCTACAAGCGAAGCAGACCCTCCTTCACTGCCCCACTATGACGCCATCTGCCTTCACCGTCAAGTTCAAGGAGGCCTCCCGTAATCGCTCCAGCCTGAAGCTGCTAGATAATTTCGTCAATAGGTTGTCTTGTGGATAGCTTCTAAGAGACAGTAGCTGCGACTGTGCGAGATTGCTCTCGTCCAAGTTTCAGATAACAATTCGTTGACGACTCCGTTAGATCGTGCTGTGCACCATGTTCCCGAAGGGTAGGCTACTTGATGAAGTTTTGATAGATAGTTCGATCACTCGGTTTCAGTTCATTTCGTTTTGAATGTAGAGGAGAGTGCCCTTTTTCTCTTCCTCCCCCCCCCCCTCCCCACGTACACTGCTTTGCAAGCTCGCAGGTGAAATGGTAACTGCCCGCAGCTCTGTTACTTTACGCCGGCGCAACGAGCGAACTTTCCGGAGACAGGCCAAAGATTTCGAAGTTATGGCTTTGTAATAGTACCGTGCAGACACATATCACGAAGATAGCATGGCTCTTCGGCATTCGACGAAGGAATCCTCTCAAATAATGGTGAGAGGTGAAATTATCACTGTATGAGTGTACTGGGCATCACTTTTTGAACACTGCTGTTGGAAAGGTCCTTTTGGAAATTTTCGAAGACTGGCAAAACGATTCGCATCGCTTGACGTGGGAGCGTTGTGACCAATACATAGCAGTAAGGGTATCTCTTCATATTCTCTAGCTTTACCATATGCATCATTGCTGTGCTGAAACCGAGAATGCTGAATGTTTCCACCCATAATAATTACTGTCTCCTTTATGACATTCGTTGTAGATATAAATCGAGCGAAGTCAGGCGAGAAATGTATAGCGCTGAAGGATCTGACGCGAATAACAAAAAAACCTGATGGTATTGTTCCAAAAACCCAAGAAAATAGTGTAGTTGAAATGCAACCATGAGACGGATGGTTTTGAGCCCACGCTTTACTTCTTATTTGCCACACGGGACAGCGCCACATCTCTTCTTACCGCTCTTTAGATCTTTCAAGGGGAAGATCCCAGTAATGGAAAAAACATCAACAGTGGGGCATCCTTATAGACAAGAAAGAATGCCCAAGCATCCATATGCACTCTGCCATTTCAAAATGTTAGAAATAATAAAAATAAAAACAAGACACAAACTTGGCTGGGTTTCGTCGTCTCAACACCACTTACTAACTATCAGTACTCACCTGCTTACGCCGGTCGTCCTGCCATGTTACTGTCCGTGTAATGGTCAACAGCCTGAGAGGATGAGCATCCACTTTCTTGTCAGAAAACGCGTCAATATACAACCAGCTTAAAATGGCAATCATTTCCAGTGGAATATCTGAAGAGGCAAGCGAACTTACGTTGACAAAGAAATTCCGTTCAAAGGCGGAAACACCCTTTCAGATCGGTTTGACGAAAAAAGCGGGGCCAGCGACGGTATGAATAGACAGCCAAATCCTTCCATGGCTAGATCGGTTTCAACGAAGGACGGTGCATGGGAGAGGCGTTGGTCGCGCGGAGTCATCATAGACACCAACGCTTTGACCCTTGAAATGACTATATAAGATAACGAAAAGCAGCAGTTTTCCTATTGGGGACTTTTCTATCAAACTGACAAACAAGTTCTTCAACGTCCAGTCTACACTTAACACGTTGACGACATCGCGCGTTTTGTTTTTGCACCGCGTGGGACAAGAGCGATTTTGCGAGCGCCCCCGCCGCACATCAAATCCATGAACTCTGAGTTGTAAATACGCAATACTTACATGCGATGGAGTGTTTTCAATTGTGTTCAATCTGTCTAACTTATCGGGAGTTGAAATAATGCAAGTTCGACCGAAATTACGTGTTAAGACTATGAAAAGGCAAGTTTTACTTACTTTCCCTTTAGTGGTTCCAAATTAATCTGTACGGGGTTGCTTCAGTAGAAGCACATATCTTTCCATACGAATAGGTTTGCATTCGCTACTGTTATTCCTTTTTATCAACATATTCACGTTAATGAAAAGAAAACGAGGAATGAACTAATCAGACATATCCGTAACATCTGGAAAACGTCTGCCAAACTGAAGAATATTCGGCCTTTCTGTGAGCCATGTGGTTTTTAAGCCTGCTAATGCTAACGCATGGACTATAGAATGAGTACAAGGACCTTAGAAATAAGTCGCGCAAGTGCAAGAAAAAGGGTGACTTGGGTGGGGCGCGTTACGTTATGAAAAAGAGCACTATCCGAAAGACTCTACAGATATGATGCGGAACAATTTTTGTACCGCCAACCTATTATATCAAACAGGCCGACCTTTCTGCTATTTTCAAACGCTGAGAGAACTGCCACTTTCTAATGATCCTTCTGGAGAATGGATCACCTTCGAATGGTGGTTCATGGCCCACAAAACCAGATGGGTCAAAACCTAACAATCTTCAAAATGTATTATAAGTTACACTCACACCCTAAAGCAAAAAAGGCTAGGATCGAAAATTGTGTCTCACTACGTTTATTCCAGCGTTGACGGTCCGTCTAGAAAATACAGAACCTTGATGTAAACGCATAAGGCCCAAATTCCATTTCAAGTGTGGTTTTGATGGACCTGTTTCATGGAGGTACAGAGAGGAGGTCATCAGAACGGGACGGGGTTGCAGGCGCACTGTGCTCGTCTCGACGGCGAGGAAGACGTAATATAAAACTCTTCATACTCTCATAATTCTCTTCGCATAGCATTTTACGAAACTGCATTTAGTAAGTCTGTCTGCGAGATTTCTCTTTCGTAAACATAAACGCTTTCTTTCGACCGCAAGATTTTCATACACCGCTGTGCGCAATAGATTGCACCCCATAGAAAACTTAATTTTCTTGAGAGCCCGAAATTTTTGTTGCTTCTGCCTACACTATATTTAGAGAAATAGACGAAGGAATAATATCTGTGATATTTATTTGTCATTACGACTTTGTCAAAGTTCGTGACAACAATTTTTCACTTTTTGAGCCGGTGCATAATAGATTGGACGATATGTATTGTGGATCAAAAAACAAGACGTAAAGCCTGCTCCTCCCATCTAAGTACGAGCAAAGGGTCCTTTCTTCTCTTTGAGCTTAGGGCTGGAATCAGATTTTAAATCAGCGCATTCTAAGCAGCAGAGGCGGTAGAGTTTTCCACTCCTTTGTGTGCCTTTTCTTAGCGGTTGAACATTGTCATACGCTGTCCCATTTCAGTAGATCTTACGCATCAGTATACCCTATGTATTCCCGATAGGGTTCGTATCAGTGATTACATTACGGCATGAAATAAATGTATGTATTAGATTGAAAGTGCGACAGAATGCTTCACGAATTTAGTTGTTTCGAAGTTTCTTTGCCGAAGATGAAGTGCTATTGACGAGTCTCAGAAACGAAAGAGTTACACTCGCGGAATATATTTGGGGATTGATTCATTCTAGGATTTTTCACAGTAAATTAAAGAGAATGTCAAGCTACATCACTAGAGGAACTCCACAAACATTCAGGGAGAATTGCACAATGTTGCTTTCGAGCACCAGTACTGTTCACGTCTGCCAACGACGCTGTTCGAGTTGCGGTGTAACCACTACTCACTTCCGCCGAACAAAAGGCTCATCGAAGAAATTCGTAGGAAAAAATAGAAATATAAATTTGAAATTTACTAAACGCTGGTAAAAATATGCCAGAACATCCGCTATGACCAAATCTCTGCAATCCTACCTCGAAAGAGGGATGCCGCTATGCGAGGTATAGTCAGGGTAGTTTGCTATATTTATTGTGCTAACTATGTAGTCGATATTTTCAATACGAGACAGTTCCATTTCGAAACGAACAATCGGCAAGCGACTCCAATTTATAGGAATCCTTTGTGGAATCAATGCCAAATTAACAAGCAGTGCCTCCTTCACTCGAACAAGTGATCTTCCAAACATCTAGTTCTCTAGAACAGTTTAAGAATGATTCTTTGATCTAAGTTGCAACTGCATTCAGAATGGGGTTCTTTAGATATTGGTAGTATTTCACTGCAAGAGACAGTTAACGTTCCAGTGCGAATCCAGGCCTTACGTTTAGTTTTTTGGAGAAAAAAAAAAAAAAAATAAAAACCCCCCGCGTATACGAAGTAAAAGGCCAAAAAAAAACCCAAAAGCCTCTGTGGCACATCGGCATGGGACCGTACACTATGCTGTAGTTGGGGAGGAGGATAGTGTCCGACGAGTGGAAGACAACTTCAACGCGGACTTAGAACCTCCCTAATTTGGCGCTTACATAGAAACTACGCTTTAAGATAAGAGCGAGTCGTACCTTCTCATAGCTTAGTCAAGGGTTGGGAGCAGCCGTCCTCTATGGCTGCGTATACGTGACAGCTTGCACAATTACGTCATTACTTCATCGTACCAACGATTAAGTTAATCCTTCGATCCTGTTGCGGATCCATCCCCCTCCCCAACATTCAGCATACAGGCCCAGCCATGTGCCAAAAGGCTGTGTTGCTCCGCGTTATATACTTAATCAAATAAGTGAGTCATTCACTTAAAAAGCAGGAAATAGTGGAAATTTAAATCTCTATCGTCCAAGTCTATTGCCGCCAAAATAATCAATGTTTCCAGTTCTAAAAAATTTCAAAGACACTGTATCTAACTGAATATTGTGTCAACATTATTCATCTACTTCCCCAGGAAACATATCACCAGCAGAATCAATAAAAGTTTCGGCCTCTCTCAAAAACTATGTTTTTTATAGGGTGCAATCTATTATGCACCGGGGTGTATGTTAAGAAGTTGAAAGTTGAAAATACATTTGAACCACAGCTCCCTAGCTATTTGAAGGGATGTAGAGCAGAGCTACTGCTTGATGGCTTCAACACCGACGATACTCCCACGTCTGATCAACGGGCGAAAAGAACCTCCTAAGTTCTAGGCCAATTTCTTGACTTTTTCTTCAACCCTGCATCACTCTCCACCTTTACTTGATTGATGGGTCAGCTTTTCATCTTACTTATCCTGGACATCATCATTAAGGATGGTGTCACATCGAGAAGAAACTGCAGCAAATAATCACCTGTCATGAGTGGAAAGGAAAGGTGCCGTATAGCTGGGCTTAGTGTTCTTCAAAGGGTGCAAATCATGTCCGTTTCCCTCCGTTCCGTTCTACAGATGCTCACAACGTGGCGCGCGATAGCATGTCAAGAATGATTAGCGATAAAAAATTGTGACATGTAAAGCAATAATCGAGAAAGGTTTGGAACTGGCCCAACCGAAAATCAATGAGCGGAAGCCAACCGTCTGAAGAAAGTTGAGAAGCTCGATGAGACAGCAAGAGGATCATTAGTAGATATCACACAGGTGATTGATTGACACTAAGTTTACTCATAACAACACATAAAGTAATCCTGACGAAAAATAATAATTCTATTTCACAAATAAATCACTGAGTTGAGATCTACGTTCACAATAAGAACGAAAAGAACAGAAAAGTTACGTTTGTTTCGGCGAAAAATTTTAAAAACCGGTACGCGTTCAAATTCCTGCCGCACATCTGTCACAAGTGCTGGCAGCGGAACGCTTCAACTCTGTTCTCGAAGTGCTGCCGCTAAGAACTCTTGTTGACTACTTGACTTATTGCACTAACAATTCACACTTTTACTGCATTCTATTCTATCGATCGTTTTGTCTCGATTCTTCAGAATTGAACGCTTTTATTGGATTCTTTCAATGCATCGTCTAATAGGTGACCGCCCCAAGGCGGACTCTTTCCACGCGGCTCTGGCCGATCTACCTTCGACCGTCCATAGAGTGTGGTTTTCGTAAGTTTGTTTCACTTCGGACTGAATCTTTGGGCGAGAAACTTTGAACTTATTTCAAGCGATCACAAATGACATGTTCATTTGTGAAAAAATGCAAAAATTTTCAGGGAAGGATTCCTTTAATTGCGTTCACGTGCAGAACCTACCTTTGCAGTGGCACTGGACCTCCTTCGTTTGCCCTTGGAGGCTCATCACCATTGGTTTCATCCAAGTTACGACAGCAGAGAGGTAAATCGAGGCGCAGGAAGTTCCTAAAATAGAAACAGTGAGTAGCTCAGACTGCGCACAAGTGCCAAAATTTGGTTATATATTTAGATTTGGATCGTGTCTTCTAGAGCTGTATTATAGTAAAATTATTAGGTTGGCAAGAAAGTCCTGCGACACTCTTTCTCAAATTTTCTTTTTTTCTGAAGAATCCATAGGTAACATTTATGACTAACAAATGGTAGAGCATAGTCGAGGCTCTAATCCACGAGGTGGATATAAGTGCTGCAGCAAGTAGTTATCCAAGAAAATTCGAAAAACCTCGACCACTAGTAAATCCACACTCCGAGTTGTCTAAGTAGTTATCCAAGAAAATTCGAAAAACCTCGGCCACTAGTAAATCCACACTCCGAGTTGTCTAGTACAAATGTCTACATAACTATGGATCAGTGTCAAAGACCAACACCATCTACAATCGCTTCAAAAGGTATGTCGTGTACCGCTATAGCGTGTTTCAGCTTTACAAGCGCTTCCGATCTTTTGATATTTTTATAAGAAGCCAGCAGCGTCCCTCTCACTCCAGAGGCAGGGCTCTACAGAAGCTCCACTACATATTCTTCGTTATGGGCACCATTGTGCAGGTAGAGGCCTAGGTTGCGGAATACCAGAAGCTGGCCGAGGCAGCTCATCAAGAGCTCTCGAACCGCGACAATATTCATCTCTTTCATGATATTGCGAATCACCATGATCCGAAATAAGCCCGGTAAGAAAGTCTGGAGTTGCGGCAAAATTTCTTACCTCCTTTAGCGTATTCCCCTGGTCGAGCTGTAAATGACTACTACCTATCCTGGACTTTAAATCACCATCTTGATGACGGAATAATTAGACTATCAACTCCAACTCGGAAGTGGGGTCGCCTCCTCTCTTGGCACTTCGCTGGGTTTTGGAAAAGGCGCATCAGGAAATTTTCGGAGCGTTGAAGACAAGTGGTGTACACTCATGATAGATATATTACCGGTCAGGAGTTGTAAACAAAAAAGATAGAATTAAAATCAAAAAATTGAAAAAGTGTCGCAGGACTTTCTTGCCAACCTAATACATCACAGATCTTATCCAGGAAGTCATGAAGCACGAGAGTAGAGACCTAGAGGCTTTCGAATTGTACTTTCGTAGCTCAAAATTTTCGCAAGGCATAAACTGTTGGTCAACATACCTGAGTAATTGAAACTACAATCCCTAGTTGAAGTATCCTCATCCTTTGAAGAACGAACTCCTCAAGCGTCCCAGATAAGGTGCAAAAGATACACCTTATCTCACTCTTTCTCTTCCTCAGCGTTTACCCCATTTGGTGGAAATGTCCGCTTTTCTGGTATGTTGACGCTACCTTTCCCTATTGAATCCCTGATCAGGATGGATGTCAAATCACTCTTCGGTTTTACTGTATTTGAAGACACTTAACTACCAACGAGGCTGCGGCACGGCATAGGGCTTACATTTTTGAAAATCGTTTCACAATATCCGAGTGGCATTATGAAAAACATGAAGCAAGATGAACGGAGAACCAACCTTAGCTGACTCGGTTGCATGGACTGATACGACAAACGTTCCAGAACGTAATAGAAGGGATGGAGTAGGATATGATCTTCACACAAAAATAGCTTTGAAGCAATTGTTAACAAATGACGAGGCATGTCCACCTTAACATCATTGTTCTCTCAACACTTTCAAAAGTTGAGCTGTACATCCTGCTTACTTGGCACATAAGTTGCTGGTTCCTCTCCGGTTTTAGAAGCGCTTTCAAAAGCAGACCGCTGTAGTATTGTGCGGCAACAACCCACTTGATATTTTCCGAATGTATTGATGGCAAAAGAGAAAGAATTGACTGAACAGCTCCAGGGTGTACCTAAAAGAGATCATTGAGCAGTTTTCACCGTAAAATCGATCACAAACACGAACCAGAACAGAAGAAGTCCATGAGACAATGCAGTCCTCCAGCGAACCCTCAGATGATGTCCAGGTCACATCGGAAGACATTCTTCAAATAAAATAATTGATTGCTCACAGATGTCTAATATCCTTCTATCATATAAGCCGCTAAATTGGTGTGCCGATTTGCAGGCCTGTCCGTATTTCGGTTCAAAATGAAGTGATGACACACTTAATGGAATAAAGTGAACGCTAACAAAAGTTGAAAGCCCGCAGGATGGCGGTTTCGATGTTCGGTGACGGCATTATCGCGATAACACCCAAACTGCTATATAAACAAACTGAACAGGCTCTTGGCAATACCAAGTCTACATGATGTTGCGGGTGGCGGATATGGGGAAGAGGGAAGCGAGGGATGAGCGTAACCAACCACTAAGAAACCCGCGGTATAAATTAGCGTTAAGGTGTCGTTCTGATGTAATGTCATAGCTGTGCAATGTTTCCCACAGACAATATAGCATACACATCCTCTCACCGAAATGCTAACCTCTCGAAAAAGTCGTAAAACATGCATGGGGAAGGGAGATCCCACTGACTGCGGGAACTAAACTTGTTTACTAATCTCAAGTAACCAATGAAACTCACTTCTCATAGTTATCCAGTGCCATGTTGAACAAAAGCCGAATGATGTAACAGGCAAAGAAAATCGAGGGCGGCATGCCGGCAGGGACAGATCTGTTGAGTAGAATAGTTCGTAGTATTAGGCGGAATTTTGAGCTCAATCGCGAATAAACTCAGAAAATGCATCAAAGGAAAATACCCTGACTGTATGTCCTCGTCCATTTTGAAAACCGCATGACAGGCAGCTAGTTCGTCTTTAAGCTCAGATCCCTGAAACGGTAGAACTTATTACAATACGAAAAGTCACAGTTGAAACCAAAGGGACTTTCTTCCAACAATGCGAAGGGAAGATCAAAACGAAACAAACGAAAATACCTGCAACCGCCATTCGGGGTCAGTAACATTTACAATCGTGTTGTCGCTGAAAGCGCCCATGAGTCGAAGCACGGTTGTAATGCTATCCCAATTCACCTGAAAAGGAAGGGGTTATATACGGCATTCCTTAGCAAATCAACCAAATGCATGATACAGAAAGCTTATACCTCAACGGAAAAATACTTGGCATTTGACGGTTCGAACCTCATGCTTATGGTAAGCACTTTGAATATTAGATGAATGAAGTCAAGCAACTCCACAGCTTCGGTAGCGATTGTGCCTAAAGTCGATCAATTGGAGTAAGAAGTCTCTTATTATACGCTGTGTACTCAGGCTATCCATGGCTTCTTACACGCTTTTTTTCTGGCTCGCAGCGTACGCTATAAAATGCTTTAATCAGATTGAGAATATTTTCCAATTTCAAAATGTGTCTTCTGGTGTAGAGAGCAATACATTTGCCCAGAACTGTGACTTTAGAATAGCCTGCACCTCGACACAAACTTTTTGAAGTGGGAGAGCACGATCAAGCAGCACATTAGAAATCAAGAGGAATTCGTCACTGATGCACAGAAGAACAAACGGGCGTCTTATCGATGCTACTCTCTTTGACATTAACACTCTCTCTTTCTCTGCTGAAGAACAAAATCAGGAGGCGAGGGGTTACCTACTGGCCAGCGGGCAGGTGCACAAGCGGCGCGTGTACGTCCCTGTTGAGCCGCTAAAGGGGCATACCCTTCGCTAGGGAACGCACATCGTCCCGTAACTTTAGAAGAGGAGGGGAAGCCGGTCTGCCTTTCGACCATGTATTTTTCCCCTCATCAACCTTCGACCTTATCGTGGAATCCTCATTCAATCAATCTGAACAGTTTTTGTTCAACTATTCCGCTCTTTTAATTTTCATGATAAGATATTATACACTCACAAACCCAAAATGGGAAAAAAGTCGGGGCCAGGTTTATCGATGGACAAAACTGCTCGAACTTATGTGGAGAATGTTGACTGCGTTATAAATAGAGGAGCCACAAAGAAAGGAGACATAATTATACGAAATCATTTATATTGCATCGATTTATGGCTAGTATTTGAGGCTCAAACAAATCATAACAACAACCCCAGATGAGGTGTGTCGAAGAATCTATTCTGTGGATGCGATAGAGTAGCTAACGAGTATCACAGATGAGCCGATGCCGCGGCTCAAAAGTGCGCGACATTGGCGTTAGAGCCTTACAAAGAGATCTAATGGTGACTGATGTGAACTTGTGGACGAGAATCCTCGCGCCAACCCCATGAATACCAAGCGTGGATTGCGGCGTAGCAGCTACTTCTATGCGCGTGTTAGCGGAGTCATGGAGCAAGCAAGTCCAGAAAGCTCGCCCCATCCTTATTCCAAGGAGAAAGAGAGGGGACACTTGCTAATAGACGGTTTACTTTAGTACTTTTCCATTTTCGATCTGTTCGACACCCATAATTTCATTATCAGCCGCTGTTACCCCACCAACTGATCCGAGATCTTGCTTTAAAGGCAAACTCCGGGATAAAACGAGGGACTCACTTGCTCGAGTGTGAAGAGCTGGAAAGTAAGTTGATCGAAGGTAATGACAGGAAATACCTCCAAAGAACCACAAAATTAGAAATTTCTCTTCGTTAGCCGCTCACGAGCCAGGGCTGGGGAAATTAGCTTGGACATGTCTACAGCAGCTTTTGGCTTTGTGCCATCAACCGACACGACTACAGAAACTCAGCAATGAAAAAGAAATCTCTATTAGCTTTCCTATTCTTTTCATATTTTTCCTGTCGCTTTTTTGTTCGCTTCCTAGCTTAAAAATTTTTCTCACTACAATGATGACGACGTTCTCCAAAATGGTCGCAGGATAGGCAATGATGTCGATTTTTGCAATTGAAATCCGATAAATACTCCCCTACGACTTTCCAAACAACACCTAGCGTTCTAAGTGTTTGTTTGGAAGATCACGTAGGACGGTGGGCGGGCTCAATGGGCTTGGCGCCAGTGCTCCAACCTGGGCCCCTAGCGCCTGTACCTTATCAAAACGTCCCGCCACTTCTGCACATGGTCTGCCCTTGCGTACTGCTCCATATTTGATGGGGGGAACCCAAATTTCGTCAGAAATCCCGGTGCCTTTAAGTTTTGCGACCATATCTACGCGAACCACTGCTATCAGGAATAATTCGAAAATGAGTACTAAATGATACTTTTCAAGACGTACGAATGGAGATCATCAAAATGAATAGGAAAGCTTGACAATGAATACCTTTGACACCTTCAGCCCTCGTGAAAGCTCCCTCCAAACCAAGAAGCATCGAGATGAGTCCAAGATAGCCACCAGTTTTCCGAAATTGAACCCGCACCTTGTGACTTTCGCGAAGAACACCCAACACGGTCTTCAAAAATTAAAGATTGGGTGAAGAAGAAGGAGAGAATAACTTGGTCGATTAAGAAAATTAACAAAACCCACTTTTAAAAGGTCCACATTGAATTCTAGTTGTTGCTGAGGACCAACTTGGCTGATAACCTTAACGATTTGCAGTGAGACGACAAATGAGACTAGGGGAATATCAAACTCACCTGAATAACTCCAGCGATATACTGATCCGTTGAAGCCAATAGAAGAAGCTGTTTGAGAAGCTGTAAGCTACTACTCCGCCATTCACCAGTCACTACAGTGAGCACGCTGAGTAATGTACGAGCTCCAAAACAATCGGAAAACATCCCTACAAGATTAAAACTAGTCTCAAAATGGTTTCACTACAATTGGGCTTACAGATCTACTCACTAGCATTTTCCAGATTTCCTTTTATTATAACAGTCAAGAGATCAGTAGCCAGAAGTGCTAGTTTCTTCTCATCCTCATTGAGATTCCGCTCTAAATTAAAATGAACAGTAATCATGGAACAGCATACACGGCTTGAAGCAACGCTGCAAATCGACGTATTCTTACGTTTATACTGTGCGAACAGATTGTTGATTATGTAGCAAAGGGTGTCTAGGAGACCAACTTCTCGAAATGCATCCTAGAAAAAAATGAACACAGACGAAGACTGAGATACCATACATACAGAGAAAAAGAATATTCGGCTAAATGATTGCACATTAGAGATTCTCAAATAATTGCCGAAGGTTGAGCGTGACTACATTCTAACTCATCAGTCCAACTACAAGCGACATGAACTGAAAGACGTACCTAAAAACTGAAGGGTTGACAGAAAAGGGTGTTCTGGGTGTTACGCAACATTTATGAAGGACACGGGAGCGCTGCTGCAGCAAAAAACAAGAGAGGCTACACCCGTTGCAGTAGATGCAAAAATTTCTTTCTGTTGGATGTTTCAGTAAGAAACACAAATCTTGTCATCCGTAGTGCTACTATTTGCACTTGTACCTAGAACCAAATTTTCACATCTCCATTTTACTACATCCTACTTACTATAAAGCGCTTCATCTGTCGCTCAGTCTGTCGTTCTTTCTGTCGTTCTGTCTGTATGTCGTTCTGTATGTCTGTCACGAAATTCCCTAGCTCCTCGCGGATCCGCCTGGAGGGACAGGTCAAAGTGTGGGACGGTGGCGAAGGTCCAACGAAGCTACAAAACACCATCAGCTAAGCGAGCCCCGCCCACAGTGGGCGTGAAGTGTACTGACGACCGAGATTTTAAGATTTCTTAAAAAACGACCTTGAAACTGGGCCAAAAAGTGGGTAAAGGTTTGCAATCGTGAGTAACATCGAATTAGGGAGACCCACCCCCGGTGGGCGGTCTCCAAAAAAGCAGTCTTTTGTAAAAAATTTCATAACTCGGTTGGGAGAAAGCCTACAGAGCAGAAAACAAATTGGTGTAGGGGAGCAATGTCTAGGGTGTTCCCAGCATAGGTGATGTGGACGAAGGCCCCGCCCACAGGGGGTGGAGCGCGTTCTGAAGTGTACAGCATTTTCTACGAGTCCTCATAATTCGGGCCGGAGAGTTCTTAGTGGGCGGGGCTCGGCCAAAGTGGGTGGAGTCTGCGACGCAAATTCAAAACTCGGCTCCAACAAGTCCCGGAGGCTGGGAAAAAGGTGGACAGAGGTGGGTGGAGGAGCGGAGGTCAACTGTCATCGGTGGGCGGGGGTTGACCAAAGTGGATGGAGTTTGCCAAAAGTTTCGTAATTTGGTTCCAAGAGGTCCCAGAAACCGGTGAAAAAATGGGAAGAAATCGGCGAAAGGAAGGGGCCAAATACTATTGGTGGGCGGGGCACGCACCGAAGTAGGCGGAGTTTGCCACGACCTATTGTCCGGAAGCAGTCCGGAAACCGGGAAAAAGAGGATAATGGTTCACGTTGAAAAAGAGGTTGAAAGCCGTGATGGAGCGGACAGAATTTAGCTGAGAATTCAGATATTCGTGGTGAATCGCTAAATTTGAAAATTTTTTCGTCGCACCATCAAAATTCGCCGCAGATCTGTGTTGTGCGCGCAATGCGTGCGGCGCCAACTGGTAAAGGATAAAGGATAAAGCATTCGCCGTTGACCACTCGCTTTTTGGGATGCGGCACGCATTCCACTTCCATTTGTACAATCGTAGTGGCGTTTTGAATGCGATGTGACCTATACAATGACATGCGGGGCCAGCCGATGTACAAGTCAGTGTTTTTATCCTCCCAGATAGGTCTGGTACCGACTCACCGACCCCGGAGGGATGGAAGGCATGGTTGGCCCGAGCGACTCGTGACCCAGGATTTGATCCCTGGACCGCTCGCGTGGTGAGCGTGCCACTTGCCACTACACCACTTCCGCCCTCCATTTTACTACATTCGCTTGCTTATTCAAAATAAAAGTTGAAATTTGAAGGTAACTGATGAGACGTACGTAAGAGAAAATCTTTGCTAAACTCAAGCACATCTAACTATTTTATGGACTACAGCGTTCACATTGTAGTTGGGTTGATGCAGGAATAGAAGAGTGCGAAGAACATGGAAGAATTCGCGCAAGCGATAGAAAAGGGACGACTTGGATGGGGCAATGTCCGACGTGGTGCGCAAGGTGGGACTTTACCACGTCACGCTGTCGTCAATGTGTTAATTGGGTGGTTTTCCGCTTTAACAAGAAACTTAACAAAAAATGAAGATATCTCGAAGAAAAATGAAATAGAGTGAGTGTGACTTTTGCAAGACACAGACGTATCACGCAACAACTGAACTTCACTCTTGCACTGAACTCAATCATGTTAAGCTAACCTTGATGACGGAGTCGACGGTTAGAAGGCGAAATGCGGCCTGAACACCAGAGATGCAAATACTCTGCTGACCAGCAGCCAACTCTGTTTTCATTTGAACACATATGCCTATCAGCTCCTTGCACGGGATATAGTTGAGGTGGAACACACAGTGCTCCACGAGCTCGAAAATTTTGCCCTTAAATAAACCAATGCACATCTATTATACCAAGCCTCAAAAATTGGACAAACATTAACGAAATACGTTCTAGATTCGAGCCGAACAGGATATTTGCAACTCACTCTCACAACTTCATCTTTCCTGTCCATCTGTTCTATGAACAACGCGAGAGGATATTCTTTATCAAGAATGAAGTAGTTCGCGGAATCACAAGTATATATGGAGTGGACAATGTCTATGGCTATAGCACAAATTTTAGGATTCTGGCTCTGAAAAAACAAGGAACTGGAGTGTGTATGGACTCAAATACATTTCATTTGGCTGAAATTTGGACAAAAGTCAAATTTCCCAAAAAGGTGAGAAGGGGAAATTAAACAAGATTAAAAAATGTGGATGTTGGAAAGTCCGCAGTCGTGAAGGAATCACAAAAAAAAAACACTAGATTATATATACGTTTTTGAATCCATTACATTACGTTGCTAGCGCATGAGGAGATAGCCACTGCCTCAGCTGCAGTACTTTAAAGACTTCTGATTGAAGAGAGATAGTATGGCGATTTTAATAATACGCTGATCTGTGAGAATAGGAGGTCATCCATTGGGAAGAGATTAGTGCTAGCGGGAGGAAATATTAGTTTGAGTTACAGGTAGGTGCCTATTTAACATCGATTTTCATTCGACGGTTGAAAAATGTAATAACGGCCGATGAGAGCGATTAGTTTGGGAGTAGAAGGGTCACTAAAGCTTTAGCTGCGCGATAAGAAAAAATTCCACTCCATTCCTCGTCAGCATCCAGATCAATTCGACCGCCAACTTGCCTGTGCTTCTCAAGATGGTTGCTGTTGATGGAAATACGATCAGTGTTGGCGTCTCCATTTTAGACTCACCGACATACTAGCTGTTATCCAACTGCTGATGATAAGCTATTCCTACATCCGAAGCAGGCGAATGTTTACGGAGATTTGATGAGCTTGGGGAAGGGACATTTATCAGATTTTAGCACGTTACGACCGCCGTTATGCGCGCACTGCTTCAACATTTCGTATTTTCTCATCAGTAGGCATTAGTAATTCAGCGTTTTCACCATCAGTAATGAAAACGCTGAAGGACTCAGACCCAATCATGTGCATGGACCATTGTGGAAGATGGAGAAACGCCAAATAAATTTGAAAAAAACTAGCCTGCTCCACGTGAAAGTGTGGTTTGACATCACACCACGCGGTCGTTAACGTGCTAATGGGGTGACGACAATTAAGAGCTGATAGTAAGCACCGAAGTATTCATATTAGTTATCCGAAGCTCATTCGGCCGCTCGACTATCTTAGTTTTCAGAAAACAATAGATGTTTATGGCGGCTACGGGAAATGACCGCTTCACCACAAACTTTCAACAACACCAGTTCCATTGAGTACTCAATACAAGAGCCTGGATATGCTCATCTTCACAGAGACCTACTTTGACGTGTGGGCAGTAAAGAGCGGAGCCAAAGTGGTCCACAAATAAGCGAACACTGACCAAAAACACCAGTATAACGAGCCCAAACCAAGGAATTATCTCATGGTTGATTCGAGAAGTCAAAAAAGAAATGAAGACATGAAGAAAACGCACCTCAAGGAATACCTTGTGAATCAGACCGAATGCCTGGATATTGCGAACAGAAAGCCCATGGCCAGAAGGATTTGGTAAGTGGAACGATGGAAGTTGCACAAGCCCTGATGAATGCTGAACAAATATTATGTATAAGGTGCCCCCGAATAAGATGGAGAGCGGCTTACCTGAGGTTTAATTTCTAGTGGACCATTTGTAATAACAGATATTAACATGAGAAGTATGTTTCGAGCTATTTCTTCGCAATTTTCGTTTCTGAAATGTCGTTCTAATAATAAAACCAGATGGGCAGCGTTCCAGCAAAGGTCATGATTTGCAGTTTGGTTTGCAGTACGAGGGTGAATTGGTAGGTATTGGCCGTATGACCTATCGCTTTAGAGTAAACGAGGTAGTGTCAAACTTAGCCGCGAAATCGCCTTGTCGTCAATGGTGAGTGCTACCTTATGTTAGTCAAGAGAACCAGAAGGTCGCCAGAACAAAACCAAAAAATGGAAACGGGACCATTGTAAGAGCGTTCTAATTTCTTCAAATTCGAAAAGGAAGAATGAGACGGAATTATAGAGTTTATCGAGCAGAAACAAATGCCTACTATGACCAAACTTTTTTCGAGAAACATGCTCGACATGGTAAAGTAGCAGATGAGCAAAAGAGAATGAATGGAAACAGCACGAGAAACAAAAATAACGGAAGGAATAAACGAAAACAGCATGAAAAAAATAACGAACTGTAAGTCAGCAAATTTGAATTACATCGCATATAGCCATGATACGATGAATGTAGGTGAGATGTTTAAGCATTCGATTCGTGCCTCAATGGATATTCAAGGGATAATACACTCTGTGATGTGTTTGAATTGAGATGTCATGTTGAAGTCACTCAAAAAGAAGGATTTCCTCAAAACGCAGAGAAACGTTTAGAATGGATTCAAAATTTCAGCGAGCTGACACTGTTCTTCGGTAATTCCCTTCGTTTTTAACACCTTTTGGAAGGTAAGGAATGACCATAACAATTCAAAGCAGTAAAAGAACTAAGCAAATGAAAGCTGTAGGGGTACTGTCTCACTCTATGCAAACATTTATGACTGCTGCGCTGGTTCCCATTTTGCCGAGAGTACTACAGAATTACCAAAAATCGAAACAAGGTGCAAGAAAAATTGAAGAAAACTCGTAGATCGAAAAGAAGATGCAGAAGAAAACTGATCCTGTAAAAGAACTAACTTTAGTATAAAATCCTTGATGGCGAGGTATCCGTTTGATTGACTAAAATTTTCAACCAGCTGGTTTGTCTGCCTTGCCGATTCTTTTAAAACACACAGCAAAGAAACAATCATTTCTGAGGCTTCCTGAAAGCAATATTGGATCAATGAAGTGAAGAATTAACAGCAGTGAGATTTGCAAGATGTAATCATACTGTATAGACCAAGCCAATCCAATTAAAATGTCAAAAATGAAAGTAACCTGCGGTTCAAGCTTAGGAGATTTTATATTCGTTATGTAAGTGCGAATGCATTCCTTTGTAGATATGTACTTTATCACGGTCGGAGTGAGGCTCTGAAAGGGATAATAAAGCGTACTAAAATAAAGAAAAACGTAGTCGTTGAGAGGTAAAAGCAGCTGGCTTGAAAACAGCCAAATACGCTATTAAACAGGGAATCCCAGAGCTTCGAAAAGGTGCAAAGTAGTAGTTTTGCCTCAAAACGTTTTTTTTTGATTATTCATTACATTTGATCTCAAACTGTTTCTGTTTTATTTCCTCTTTTTCATATCCTTCAGAAAAAAAAATCAAGTTGCGTATTCGTAATAAAAGCTAGCAGTTTGGAGCACTGACTTACGCACCGCACATTCCTTACATCTCAATCGTTTTGGCTTCTCGTACTCCACTGAAACTCATATGAACTTCAGCAAGATACAAGCTATCCAGGTTCCTAAGACAACGCCTGAATCCCGCTCCTCATCCATATCTAGCACGTCTAACGAGAGTGACCCAAAATATTTTCCCGAAGTAATCTGCGAAAGAAGGAAAAAAAATAGAAAGATGGTATAAATGACGATAAAATCAACACATTTGCGATTATGCGCATTTCTCGCTCTTCGATCGCGTGGGACGAGCGCGTTTTGGGAAGGCCGCCGCTCCAGTTCCGCGAATGTTAAAGTAAATGAACAAAACATGAATATCAGAAAGTAATTTCAGCAATGGCCAGGGATTAAAAGTGAGGAGGGGGTATTATACAGGAATTTCGATTGAAAAGACGAGTAGTTGTAATGACGACACAAAATTTATTAACATTCGTTGCAGCAAAAATCAAAAGCATTTTTGCTTCAATCAGTTCAGCAAAAACACGTGACTTACTGTTCATAAAGCTTTGCCTTGCTTCTGGTACTCTTTTCATTCAATGGTTATGAGGATATAGAGAAAAAGAAGAATCAACCAGAGTAAAAATCCAGTACGGCTTAAAAACCTTTTCTAAACTAAAACATTTCTATTTTTACAGTAGACCACGATGTTTAAAGTTATACATCCTTCCCCAGTTCTTCACTGACAACGGAAATATTCAGAAATTATGGTAATATTAATTGCAGCAAATATTTGTCAGCACGCCATATAGGCTGCCATCATCCCACGAGTACGCGCAATTGAAAGAACATATGGGATCAAGGTGAACGTTGTGATTGAGGATACCTTGCCTCATTGATGCACAAAATTCATTGAGTTAGGATTCGCAAAGACAAACGACTGTAAGACATTTCTTCAATAAATAGTCTCAAAACCATACAACCAGCCTTCACGCATTCCTTGTAGGAAGACTAGGATGACTTTGACATACCTTTGCCGCCAAAGCTTCAAGTGTTCGTGCCGTAGTCTTCCGCCACAGTACATTCTCAACCGGTAAAGAAGATGATGAACCAATGAAGAGTAAAAGCAAATCGTCTTTTTTGGCCAACTCTTCACTCACATATCTAGAACGTATTTTTGCTTCGTATTCACTGTTTCAAATAAACGATTTCTACACCCTCGAAAGCACACCTGCTAGACTACCACAACCATGACCAAAAATTTCGTACTCACTTGAATGAACAAAGCCTGTCTAGTAGGCATGTCAATAATATCATTCAAACTTCCTCGTGCGTGTCGTGATATTCATTACTGGCAGGAAGATCAAAAAATAGATATATAGTCTTCACCAGAGTGCTGGGTAATGAGACCTTGCAGACCGAGCTTATGATGACTTCATCATCTCTGAAAACAATGATAATGCGTCGTCCAATAGATCTGTCAAATATGAGTGCGAACAATGTTAACCATTACCACTCCTAACAATTTCCATATTTACGCCATCTTAAAAATGACAGCACTTTATCTTCGGTGATGTTCTTGAGAATGTTTCTCAGCATGCAACACATTCAAACACTCTCGAGAGCATGTGCTTATATGGAGAATCCTTTTTGCACGTTAGCAGAACGCCGTTGTCCCATCTTTTTTTTAATTTACTTTACCAATAAATGCACCGCTGGTATAAGTGTAGAGTTTTCGTATCCGATAATGGATATAGACATCGTGCAACATTAACACGTTGACGACCGCCATTGTGCGCGTACTGCTTTAAGTTTTTTCGCATTCTCTCATCGTTGCGCATTAGTCCCTAAGTGTTCTCATTATAAATGGAATATTGTTTTTTTTGGATCCAGTAATGTACATGCACCGTTGTGGAACAGGAAAAACGCCAAATAACTTGAGGAAAACTATTTGGGGTCCTAATTACGAATATGACATTCGTTTCTGTTGTTGGCGCTATTCGGCTCTCATTTCCTGCTCGTCTGCGCCTTCGCACTAATTAGATCGAAATGGGACCAAGCCTTCGAATAGTAAAGGGCTCCAAAATGAGTAAGCCACTCACCCTGTGATCTAATACACTCCAACTTTTGCCACGCGGTGCGTGGTTTACCCACTCCGGAGTTTCACCGCTTCCCCTTAGCTTAGTCCTAAGCGCTATGAGTGAGAAGGCTAAGAAAAGTAGGAAATGTGCATTAAACAGCATGAATTTTAAAAACGAGTGTCATATTCGTGACCAGGAACCTCGATAATTTCTCATAGCAGAAGTTTCAGCGAAATCTAGTTTTTGACCCATCCCATCCCCACTGGGGTAGTAATAGTGCAACAGTGCCGAGTCGACTACTGTTGCACAATCAGGTCTGAAGCCGTGTGCTGAATGTTGGGAAGGTGATGGGGCCTCCAACCCGCGATGCTGAATGTTGGGGACCTCAGCAAGGTCTCGTACCAGGACCCACAGGTTAATGGCCAGTCCTTTAATTCCATGATTCTATTTTTGTCTTTTCGCTGTTCTAGATTGCAGATTTGTCCACGTACACATTGCTATATTGATGTCATATACCAATATGGAATGAAGTAATAAAAGACGCGAACCAAACTGCAGTCTAAAATAGTGGATGAACAGACTGGCACGATTACGGCACTACGGCTAGACGTACACGAACGATTCGGTATATGACAGAATCAAAGGACTAATTAAACTAACCAGAATCAAAGGACTAATTAAACTAACGCAATTGGAACAATATAGCTGTATATACGTGGACAAATCTACAGTCCAAAACAGTGAAAAAGAGAAAAACGTAATCGTAAAATCAAAAGCACCGGTCAGGGGCTGCCCGGTCCCGCGACGAAGCTCTGCTGGGAGCCCCAACATTCCGCATCGCAAGTCGGGGACCCCATCCCCTCCCCAACATTCAGCGTACGGCCCCTAAACGTGCGAGCCTAACCTTTCACCACTATGATATTGTTCTACTAGAGGCGTGCTTGGATCATTTCTGCTTTTTGAAATCTGAACTCAAAAAAGCATATCTGACGGCCAAACCGTGAACGCTATGTTGAACAAAGAAGGGTATTACTTCGATGTCCATTTTGACCGAGAGAGTTACGCGGAAAAATTGCAGCGTAAAAACGCAGGAGGAAGGCTAGGCAACAGGTAGAGTTCTGACGGACTTTCCGCTCATTCACAGCCTTGCTTTCTTTAGAAAACGATGCGCTCAAGCTTAAAAAAAGAGCAATGGTATGAAGTTAGAAAGTTATTTTCCACTGGTCAAACAAATGACGAAAGGATAGCATGCACTCAGACAGTTGCTAAAATTGATCAATTATTCATGACAACCCCAGCGCTACACTAGCGATAAAATTCGAATCTGGTTGATGCGATAAAGAAATATGGAATAACGCAAACGAATCCATAAAAAAGAAAACGCAAAATGGATAAGTTCTACTCACGTTGATATCAAGAAATAAATGGAATTCAGCAACAGCCACCCTTTCTGAGAGGAGGATGGCTGAAGATACTCAGCGATACTCGCAGCTGCATCAACTGTTCCATGACTGGAAGCTCTGAAAGAGGGAACGGATGCAATATTGTGCTAATAGCAAATAAAAAGAAGGTTTTCTGAGGTACTTGCCTTTGTCTAATTTCTCTAACTAATACACTGCAGAGGAATGTGGTGAAGTTAAGGATTTCCTTAAATTCCACCTTCAGCTCAGCAGGCGTAAACATCGCCATAACCTAGAAATGGTGAATTGATAACATCGTGGTAGAATAATTCTTTTCTTTGACTTTATTTTCCTTTGGAGAAGGCACCAAGATTGGGATGTTTCCACCTCACAGGTCCATGCTCTTCGTTTTCTTGATAATGCACCAACACCTCTGAGCTTGGGAACATGACACGAAATTTCAGTATCCAATATCTCAATTTTTTTATGCTTGAGCCACATACATGAGAGCGAATAAGGTTGCAGCTGGTCGGCGCAAAGCCGGGGACTACAGAGAAATTGCCGGAGAGCCTTCAATAAACTTTTAGAGAGCACTTCCGACTTGGTTCGCAAGATGGAATAGATTGAGCAAGTGGTAAGTTTGCTTTGTCCACGGTGTAGATGTAAAGCTGACAATGCCCACCTTCCTTTTCTGAACATCTATCAGAACTTCTTTGTCATTCTCCTTTGTCAAACCATCTCATGCTCTACAGAAATTCTAATTCGTATTCACCCATATTATCTCATCATTTAGCGCGGCGAGATCGAATGTTTCAAACAATGCATCGTTTCACGGCGCCAAATGCCCGTAGTATGGCGTGTATCCATGCCAATTTGATACTTTTGGCCCTGCATGCCACTCAATATCAAGTTCACTCCATTACAGCAAAAATGTTTCAGGCTTTAAAAAAACTAACTGCTTAGCACTGATGAAAAGTGTTGATAAGAATTGCCAAGAAAAAATCCTTGGAAAATGTATGGTCAGTATAAAGCTAAACATGCATAAGGGTCTCCCCGACAAAATAGTGAAGTACTTGTTGAGAGAAAGAGTAGTTCGAAAACTGCAAACAGATTCTCGGAGGGCAGGAGTGCGAATTAAGAAGCTAATGGCATGTAGAACAACTACTTAAATTGAAGTTTTTAGTAATGCTAGCTGATATTGATTAAAAAATGCAATTGCATTTTCATTGGATGCGAAGGAAACAATTATCTTAAGCATGACATGGTAAAATAAATCGTAAAAGGCGAACCTTCGTAAACAAAGGCAACAATCTATTAGGGTCGACATCCTTGGATCCAGAAAGAGGTATCCGCATGTATTCACTAAACGTCTTCCTCAGATGAAGAAGTGTTAGCGTACGGTCGCCCTTCTCGCCCATTTTGAGACGAAACCTCCACCCCTCTCGGGAGGCAAAGCGATTTATGGGGCAATCTGGAAAACGGGAAATCAAACAAGAACTTCAACAAAAAGCAGAAATGACGAATCTGCTCATCGCCTTTCTTCAAATTCCGGATATCTTTGGGTTTAGCATTCTGACACCGACCAACGAACAATGTTTCTACAGATACGAAAACAGCAAAAGGTAAATTGAAAGAAGGAAAAAAGACTGAAGGTGTGAAAGAGTTTCATTAAAATTAAAGGGCATACGAATTAGGAGTATATAAAAGTGGTAGTAGTCGCCGTGCAGAAATCATAAAAACATTATTGTCTGCATAAAACAAAGAAAAAATTCAGTGATTACTATGATTAGGGAATCACCAAGAAATGTGAGCAAAAAGCTGTGATGCCTCCACCAGGTTTCAAGCGCGTGTTTCAGATACACAAGCGTCACACCGCGAATCGCCAGCAAACTACACGATAACAACCACAAATTGCTATTCTAAGCTGCCGATTCCGGGTCATTGCAAAGGCGAGACCAAACTGGATGAAGATAGATAAGTTGGAATTGTTCCATGACACCTTGAACATTCCATTACCAATCTGGACCCCTTCTTGGCCCATGCTACAAACCTCTATAGGTGGAAAATGGATCAACCATTAGAAAGCAACGAAAAAAAAACAAGTCCAAACGAGAACGCCGGCGCAGCACCTCAAGCGCTTGCCTTTCTCGAGAAGCGCGCATTTGACTCAAAAATGTAAAAGCGTTCCGAAAAGACACTCGATGGAAGCTTCAGTGTGGATTTTGGCACTATTTCAGTGCATATCTGCCCCCCAGTTTCAAAGGGAAAACTTAGCCGAAAATCTTTTCGAGGAGGTTATTCAGTGCCTGATTACACATTTGACATTCGTTCATGGCCTTAGCGCCATTTATATTGCCAAGCTCGTACTCAGGGCACCAAGTAAACCCTAATCTGATTTTGGGGCAAAAATATGCAATGGATTAGTACCTAGACTTTCCCCAGTAACTTTTACAAATCATCATTGAGAAACATTGTCGTTAGTAGATTGTAAGTTACATGCATACCGTTGATGTATACCGTTCTCGGCGCAAGTTGGTTGGGTGGGAGGGGAGATCATGCGTCCCTTATGGTTCAAGAACTTCACGACTCCTTACCTCTTGATTTGACCTCCTCATAACCTCCTCCCCTTCCCATCGCCATCCTCACTATCATGGCAGTTTCTGTTATGTCTGATTACAAGAGCAGGTGACGCACTTCAATTCCTCCTTGAAAAATCCTTCCCAAATTGCCGTCGGGGGTAAGGGTAAATAAAGTGGGTGCAACCGGGGGAACCGCGCGTGCTCACGAAACGTCTTCGATTTTGCATAGAATTAAGAAGCTTTCCTAAACGGCCTGT